AAAAAAAAAAAGAAATAAATCGACGATTTTGAATTTCGAACAAAAGTAAAGGAACTATCGATGTCGTTCCACCTAAAAAAAAAATGTAAACATTAGTGAGAAAAGTAGTTTCCTTCATTACAACTGGAGCTTCTGAAATTGCTGGGCATTTAAATTTCAAACCACCAACACCCGAACAAACGCATCTCAGTCATTTTCCTCCGAATTTCGCGGAAACAATCTGAAAGTGACGCTTATGGAAGTACTGTGTTTTGATGTTCTTGTCAAGAATAGCGTATATCATAAATAACGATTATTTACATTGAAAAACAAAAAAAAAGTGCTGGTATCAAATTTTTTTTTTCTATCAAAGTATACGAGGCCTAGTAGCAAAATAGCAATCGCGGCACATTTCGAACGTCGATAATTCGACGTGCTATATTTGTAGTCGATGCATAATAGCACCTAACGGAAGGGAGGGCGGCGGTCACTCTGTACGTCGACCAGGGAGTCCAACTCAGGCGTCCATTGCTCACAACCGAAACAGTGTCACAGCAATCAGTCTTCTGAAAAGTCTATCTTGATTCCATCACCAGTGTTGTAGAGTATCCAAATGTTGTTCCGGTTAATTTCAAAAAAAAAAAAAAGCATCAATTTTATTTTGAGTTATAATTTTGATCCGAACTTTTTTTTATTTTAGTAAATATAACTAACATTTATTCAAGTCCCAAATGTGGCTCCCATTAACCAAAGCTTGAGATCTTATAGATTGTTACAAGCACTTTGGCAAGGCACATCTTTATATCTCCTTCACTTTACTTCCTAATAATGCATTTATTAATATCCATCATTAGAGCCCGATATATTAAATGAGATCAATTGATTAATGTCCATTCGACGTAGGCTTCGAAGTTTCAGAGGGAGGGCTTGGACTTGTTTCATAAAAAAAGGTTGGTGGTGGTCCACAACTTTAGATTACGACGAAACAGTGGAGGCCGGCTAGAGAATCTAGAGATCTTTTTGACTTGCTAATGAAGTTAATAAGACTGTGAACAACTTCACCGTTATTCCTTCAAGACATGGTTCATAAAAGAAGATAATGAATAGTGCTTTGAATCCATCTAGCAAGCGACATGAATTTATTACTGAGGTGGAGTAATCAAGTTGGACATTTCAACGGAACCAGATTTGAGATTTAAGTGAAAATCGGTGATTTTTTATAAGACGAAAAAAAGTCCGGGCAAGAATTGTCACTCAGGTTAAAGTTAAAGTTTATTTTTTTTTTTTTAGAATTAGCCCTTGCTGTTCCCAAAGCAAACCGAATCTCGGGTCGATCGATCGAGCTGCTCTCGCGTGCATCATTTGTCCAGGGTTGCTCGCTGCAATAAGAGCCTAATCATGCTGGCAACTGATTAACAAAACGAATTAGCTGTCTCGGTTTGGGCCATGTACGATATTAGGGTGTAGATTAATCAAGAAGCTTAAGGATCAAAGTCAAACAATCCGCGGATCAATAGATTAAGGCCAGCATTCACGTGCGTGCATTGCTTGCACGTACGCAAGAGATTTATACAAAAAAAGAATCGGGGCATTTGCAAATAGTTTTTGTTTCCATATCGTTGTGATCTCTGGGAAATCTTTTTTTTTTTTTATAACAGGTGTCGGGTTTCGATAGGCCAGTGCATAAAACAAGAACAATTATTAACAAAATAATCGATAAACGACAGTCTAGAGCAAGAGGAAATGAATTTTAATGAGGCGCACGAGTGGGTGCATGGGATTCGAGGCACTCTCCCATGTGATGTCCCCGCTTGCATGTCCAGCCAATTAAAATTTGAAAGAAAATTTTCATTTCTAGAAGGAGATCATGCAATCCCTTTTTCCTATGGTCTAGATTAAGATTAACGAGCATCGCGGGGACGCTAATCGAACTTCTGTGATTAGGAAAAAGTTCGATCGCCATTGCATTGGCTATATCAACGCCGTACATGCCTCGAGAAGAATCAATTCAATTTTTCCTTTCAAACTTTAGTCTTCTCGAACCTTGATTACTGGAGCAGGAGGCCCTTGGAGAAGAACAGCTCTCACAGGGACTCGAACCTCTTTTCGAGTTGCGGTCTTGCTTTGCTTATGGGATCGGTCCATTTCATTCGAGAGTTATTGCACGATATCAAAGTTTTCTCATCAAATTAAAGGGGAAGTAGATCGATTCTTTTGGGTCATTTTCTTTGGAAATTTCCCAAAAGTCATAGCAAGATGGTAACACTTTTCTAGAAACATACGACCAACCACGCAAGTCGCGAATTCAAAGAAGACACGGATCTTCAATCAATGCTTGACTAAGCTTTGTAGTGTCAAAGTACATATTCACTGTCCGGATACAATGTGCAAGTATGGGACTTTGTGTAAGAATCTATTTTTATTTTTTTTTGGGTATTGCTAAACTTTGTAAAAAAAAAAATTGCATTTTATTAAATGGGATTCCAGAGCAGAAGGGGGTGTGCTGTTGAGTGCCAGGTGAAGAATAGCATATGAATTTGAGCCTGTTCTTTTTTTTTTTTTTTGGTCCTTCCTTAAGAACTGTATAATGTATAAAATAGTGTAGAAGATACAGCTGTATTTGGCTTGCAGAGTAAGGTTGACTTGCATGCTCTACTATATACCTGTCAATGAGTTGGAATGGAACTTGTTGGTTACAATTAGGGTCAGGCCAATCCCATTTTCTATTGTATTTTTTTTTTCGTATTTTTCTATGATGCACTTAGCTTCATCTTATTTTGTTATTTCATCGGTGCATTTTTCTTTCACTCACATCGAATGTGAAATGACCATATTCATCGACAGAATTTAGCGCTGCAATTGCAAAGATATCTAATTTAAAAAGTTTTGAAAATCAGTGACATTTATTTGATCCATAATTATTTTATAAGAGTGATTTTCTTTTGAGGATAGCACGATATGCGGTCGGCAAAATTCGTATTGGGTTTCTAAAATTGAGGAACTTTATATGAGAGTACTTCAAATACATGCGATAACAAAATTGCTTGAAGTTGCACTAATGTGCTGTTCAAATGGCTCTTTTGTGATTTCATTTTTTGCCTAATTCAAATGTTTTGCTGATTGAGTCGTTTGTACTGCTTCTTCCCCGTGGATCGTTGGATTCCTCCACTGCTCGGAAATACCGTGAGGAACAGAGAGTGTTTGAAAGTTAATTGGCACAGGCTTATCTGGTTGAACAGGCTGTCTGCTTTGGATCGAATTAGCTCGTTGGGTCTCCTTCTGGCAATCCCCTTTGTTTGCCCCGAAAGCAGGCTAAATGAATCGAGGGATCATCATCTGTTCTTCAGAGTTCAGCTTTCCTTCTCAGGTTATGCAGGAATGTGTTGTGTTGTGTTGTTACTCTGCTGTGGTAATAGAATCCCCCAAATATGGAATTCCGAGTTGGCTTTGGCTTAAAAGTGCCAATTAAAGTCGGCATGAAAAGCAAGAAATGAGGTGTTGCATATTAGAATATGTAAACATCATATTTTCACGTTCTTCTGATGGCTTAAACTTTTCGAACAATTGGCGGTTGTTTCGCAAAATTTTATTTTGCATTGAGCAGGAGGTCCGGGGTTCAAATCTTTCCCGGCCCTTATTTACCTCGCCTATTATATATTTCCACGCTTTATGTTCCGTCCAAATCTTTCCCAATCTTTAGGTCGGGCTTAATTTGTTGTCCACGCCTGCACGTACCAAAACAAATATGTGCAAAAATTGTCTGGCGGGTGCGACCTTTATAACTAGATGAGCTTGCCCAGCCCGCCAAGGGCGCCCTTCCGGCCATTGTGGCCCGGGCGAGCTCGTAGGCCGCCGAGCGCATGATCAGATCTCCCTTTTTTCGGACGTTTAAAATAGTTGGGCCAAATGAAACATGCCAACCCGCCCATTACTTGCCCAGGCCCGTGCAATTCGAGCCCAATAAGGTTGACTCTTTATCTGAGCCAATTTAGTTGATGGACTGGCCAGTCTGTTGGGCTTTGAGGCCTATAATCATTTATACTTCTTTAGTCGCATCTCCCTCCTCGCTATAAATTTATCGAGAAAGGAGTCTATAAAATGAATATTCATTTGGGTTATTCACATTCTTCGTGTTGGTTTGCTATTGTTTTCATCTCAATAATTCAAGTCGACTTACCCTGAATCAGGGTCATTCCAAGTTTAGCCACATTAAGAGTTGAGTTCAGAAGATTATATTAATTAATTTCGATAATCAATAAGAGGGATCATATCATAATTAATGTCCTTCTTCTAATGACAAATGTATTTCATAAACTAAGTAGATCAGTCAACAAAGTTGCAGATTTTACTCTAAAAAGTCAATTGGTAATCATCAACCATGAAAAATGAGGGAAATATCGGTCCAGAAACAGAAATTAGAATTTGGAATGGTGCAGCTGCAATCGTTGATTCTTGTCATTTTTGTTAAATGCATGCGAATATAATCATTTTACCCTTTTTTTTCCTCTGCCAGCGTAGGCATGTGCATCACGACATTGGCTGGGGGGGGGAGAGTTTGTTCTACACCTTAGAGTGAATATAAGCATTTCGACCTAACTATGTTGAGAGTTTCTCGGTTGAGTATTCCACTTGACCATGTTCATTGTTCAAGCAATAATTAGGTGATGAAATGAGGGGGGACCTACTTCAGCATCATGGTAGGTGAGACTTGTACCAGTTTCAATTCCAACTTGTTAATCAACTTCATTGGATAAGCAAGTAATTACACAGAAAGTTCCTTTCGTCTTCCCTTGGTCCACCTCCACCACTCTCTCTCTCTCTCTCTCTCTCTCTCTCTCTCTCTCTCTCTCTCTCTCTCTCTCTATCTCTCCAAGTACAGACAGGTGAAGTGCATGCTTATGTCTCAATCATTGCTTCTATCTTTATTCCTTTTCCTCCCAGAATGCATGTACAACACGTGCTTGAATTCAGAGAAAGATGCGATGAATTTTGTAGAATTCAAAGATAAGGAAAGAAAAAGAAATCAAGGGAAGCACATCTCTCAAAAACTAATCAGGTTCAACGAAAATTCTTTGAACATGGCCTTTCCTATATTCTTCCTGTCCCATTCCTCACCAAATCATTAGATAGCTAAGGAAAAAGGGAAGAGAAGAAACAAAACGGGAAAAGAAGACAGAGACTAGAGAGACTTCAAGAACTTGCTTCCCTTTCATAAGCAAGCAAGCATTTGAGAGAGAGAGAAAGAGAGAGAGATTGGTTTTGTAGGTGAAATGGAGAAATCAAGCTTTCAACAGATGTTCAACCAGTTGAGCCATCGTTTGAAGGAGAAGAGAGCCCTTACTGGAATAGCTGAGAAAATGGAGGACCAAGGTCAGAGGCTTTTATCTTTCCCCAGCATTCATCTTCACAAAGATGGAGGACAAAACCCTTTTTATTCCTTTTCTAGCGGTACAAAGTTTCGTTTTTGAGATTCATAATCGTATTGATGGTAAAAAAAGATGCACTTTTTATTGTGCTAAAACCTTTGATTACAGGCGTTAGTTCTTCCAATATTGGTCTTTGCATTCTCTTTTAGCTTTTCTTGAAGCAGTTTGATAAATAAAAAGCAAGGACTGGAAATTAGAATCCTCTCAACACTAAAATATATCTGTTCTCAAATAACATGCCATGAACTCAAATATCAAGTCGGTACTATTTTCAGAAGTGGAAGTAGTGTCGATGACGATCTTCCAGCTCAGTAGAGCGAGTTAATTTATACAAGGGAATTACGTTCCCTGAAAACACAGTTTTCATGGCAAAAACATAGGAATATATAAATTTTTGAACAAAAATTGCACTTCGCACCTTTTGTTCGAAATGGTGAAGTTTCAGGTTCGATTCCTACCCGAAGCAACAACGGGCCACAAGAAAGTAAATCCCAAATTCTCTACTATTGACGTGGATGTAATTTTCCTTTAGAACGCGGACTTAAAATGGCGCCTGAAATCTGGCCTTCGATGTTACTTGACTGCGAAAAAAAATAAACCTACTCAAAATTTGTACTAGCCTGTATTTTTCTCAAATACGTTGCCTCCTACGATGAACATAATGCTTTCAAATGCTATGTGCGAGGAAACTACGTCATTACCCTCATGTTGTACCAAAGAAGTGCAATCGACAATGAGAGTAAATTAAGCAGATAGAGAGAGCGAGTGAGCAAATGAGCTGATCTCGTTGAAATAATGTATCGTTTCATTTATAAGACAAATTTGTTGCTAACCCTTATAAAAATGCAGCGATAAGATCAGATGATTCAGCTCAGCCACAACGGAAAACGATGAACTTGTTGAAGAACATGGAGTGTTCAGCCCCCGCATCATCCCACGTTGGTGATCAATCCTCCAAGGCAAACTCCATAGCAAATGCAGCACCGAACGACCTCAGGTGCCGTTTTCATGTCAAAGCTGTAGATCTACAACTTATGAATTGTATATAAAGTGTTGATATCTGCAATGCTACTGGAGCTGTGATTGGATTGGATATATTTAATATCCCATATTTGGGTGTCAAATCTTTTTCTTGATATATACCATGGTGGAATTTCCTAACATGCGTAGTTGATACATATCTCCCGCTTGTGTCAGGAAAGATGTTAATAACAAAATGGTGAAAAATGATCAAATAACCATATTTTACGCCGGAAGCGTGCACGTCTTTGATGATTTTCCGGTTGACAAGATGAAGGCAGTGATGAGTTATGCTGCAAAATTTAGCCCCGATCACATTTCCAGTCATTTGGTTATCAATGGTGGTGGAAGTAACAAGACTGGTCATGCAAAACTCATGGCCAGTGCACAAAATAGTAGTGTTGGAGCTGGACTTTCCACATATCAAGAACTTCTTCAAGCCAAAACTGAAGCTGCTGCTTCTGGTAATTGCAAATAAACAGATGATTAAGCATCAGTTAGCTCTGTTAAATAGTTAACTTGCTCTCTGATGTAATATCTTTTTCTCTTTTTTACTTTAGATCTGCCTATTGCAAGGAGGGCTTCACTTCACAGATTCCTATCAAAGAGAAAGGACAGGTGAGCTTTCTTCTTCATTGGTTTCAAAGGATTTGGACTGTTCCAGAACAAAAAAAAAGTGTTATCTGAAAATTGTTGCTAACAAAGAAGTATCATCTTGAAAGGAATGCAAATATAATGGAAGCTTGTTCATGGTTCTAGGTCCCCAAGAAGGGTCATCTTGTCGTGATCCAATTGGATTAGAAGCGTTTAACCCGACCCAGATAAACAACCCCGTAAAACAGTGTCAGTGTCACACAAGAAGATTAGGGGAAAAGTGTCAAAAAAGTCCTAAACCTTTTATATTGGTGCCAATTGAGTTCTAAACCTTTTTTTGGTGCCAATTCAGTCCTAAACCTTTTTCATTGGTGCCAATTCAGTCCTAAACCTTTTGTATCTGTGCCAATTCAATCCTTCCGGTTAATTTAGCTCAAAAAGGTTTATGACTGAATTGACACCAATGCAAAAGGTTTAGAACTCAAGTGGCACCAAAAAAAGGTTTAGGACTGAATTGGCACAAATGCAAAAGGTTTAGGATTGCACAAATGCAAAAGGTTTAGGATTGAATTGGCACCAAAAAAAGGTTTAGGACTAAATTGGCACAAATGCCAAAGGTTTATGACTGAATTGGCAAAAAAAAAAGGTTTAGGACTAAATTGGCATCAATACAAAAGATTTAGGACTTTTTTGACACTTTTGCCGAAGATTAGTGTTATTGACAGCTAGAAGGACTAGTGTTACTATGGGATGAAATAACAATGTCAGTGTCACACGAGAAGATTTTGCATGAACTCATTTTAGTAGACCGAGCTGTTGAGATTCGTAGATATAATGAGACCCTAATCAAATCTTAGGAAATTTTTAAAGTTGTAATGGAATTGTAATGTCAATGATAGAATAAGTCTACAGACGATATCAGTTACTAGTTAGTTTGAGCTAAAAGAGAGGCTCTGAACACAAATTTGGGATGTCTATAGGAACTTCTTTCATAAGAAGCGAACTTCTTCAAATTATCGAATACAATGCGATTCATGCTTTCTTTGCTCACACTTGTTTTTTCAGGGCTTCGGCGAGAGCTCCTTACGTGAGGAACTCTCCTACTGCAGCATCCAGACACGAGGAGGGTAGTTCAATTCATCTTCCTCAAAGCTGATTCTTCAGAGAGCCTTGAACTCAGACTCTAGGGTTTATAATTATCAGCTTTGAATTCATCTGAAAAAGTACTTGCTTTGGGTTATTTGAATTATAAATTTGGTCCCCCTGCTTATATCAAATTTCACGTTGTTTCCCGACTTGTCTGTCACAATGTAACCTGAAATGGAGGAAAGGATCAGACATATTCTTGGGCCAATTCCGTTGACATGAGCAATCAGACTTTACCAAGAGTCTGTAGAAAATCTATATGCATCATTAATTCCTTGCAAGGAGCAACTTTCACTTGCGTTAAACGGTTGTTCTTGCTGGAAAATAAAATGTGTTGGCGGGACCAAAAGTGACTTGCTCTAAAGTTAGAGGGTGACATTGCGAAAGAAAGTTGAGGACCACGCTGCAAGAAAAGACACCAATCGAGAGACCAAATCTATATTCAAACCAGGATTAGGGCCCAATTTATTTCTTATATGTACAATATTAATTTCGTAATGGCGTGACAAGATTAAATGCAGTTATAAGAAATCTCTCATTTTGAGCATACTTTGTAGCCTGTCCAGGAATAATTACCACAAGAAGTTCCGCAGTTCAAGTTAGAACAATATACATGATCGACTATGGGTCACTAATCATACTCCAGCTGCAGGTTATTTCTAACTGCCTAAGCTTCTGCCTGAGAACTATGTTAGGGTCATGGATACTACAAATATCTTGGAAATGAACTGTAGTGACACTCAATACCAACCTTCTTAAGTGCCCAAGCAACCAGGTTTGTCGGTTTTGGATTGCCAGATCATGTGAACGTTTCAAACCTCCAACCTTCGATCTCTAAAAAAAAAAGAGTAAAAAAAGTGGAGAAAGGAAGAGCCAACTTACATTTGAATTATACACCTCTCAGAAGTTCTTACAAAGTAAAGGTGCGATCAGCCAACATTTCGATGTTACAAAACATAGATCTAATGGAAAAAATGAAATCAAGATGTACACAACATGAAAGAAAACTGAACCTGCTTTGCTACATGTGTACAGATGCAAAACTTGATTGATCCGCAAGACAAGTCGGTGCCTCTTAGCCGCGAGCTATTGATAACCTCTACTAAACTATGATTTTACTACTTTACCAATCAAGCAAGCTGCCTTTATTAGTCTGATTCCAACCTTGCAATATACTTGTCATAAAATTTCGCTGCTCGCTCTAGGTCGCCCAGCTCAGTGTAACAATCAGCAATTGCTCCGTAAGCTTCTGTATTTCCTGAATCCTCCCCTATTCTCTCAGAAATCTGCAGAACCATTGCATGGTATTGAATGGCTTCACGAAACTTGCCCTGCCTCTGAAGCGAGGCTCCTGAAATCAAATTCAGATATGAAGACAATCAATCCTGGTACTCCTTTTCACTTTCATTAGCTAACTCAAATGCTACTAAAATGAAGGAAATGCTTGCAGCTGCAGTGATCAACAAGGATATATTTCCTTCAAATGTTATAAGTGACTTTTACAAAGAAATTGGAATAATAAGAACTAAATCCTTGGAAACCCGGTTGCCCTCTCACAATATATTAGTAAAATGAAACCTGATGGAATGATAAAGGAAAATTCCATCTCATACTAAGATATCTAATATATAACTCAACAAGTAGAAGACACACCCGAGCCTCTAGCAGCCTTTTTCTCCTCGATAGGATCCTCCAGAATCTGTGCTAGCTCCAAACCTGCCTTGAATTCCCTCAATGCTTTCTCTGGTTCTTGATTCCTCAAAAAGTTCTTCCCAGATTTTAGTCGAGAAATTAACTCTTCCTTCCTTGGATCAACGATAACTTCACTTTCTGCAATTCGAGTACCCACGGGAGCATAACTCAAGCTTGGGGCATAAGATTCAATCTTAGCTTGTCTTCTTAAAGCTGCATTGATCTGGCGCAGCTGCTCATTAAGCCGAGCGAGTTCACCTCTCCTTTGTCGTGCAAGTAACCCTTTCATGAAGTTATCAAGTTATAAGGATGACACTATAACAGACTTATGCTTCTAATTTTCTGCTAAAACTAATATCCTCTATACACATATTACAACGAAATCTCAACTTGCAAATTCAATGCAAATAGTGAAACAGATGCATAACATGTTCTATAAATTTACCTCCAACAGTGGCTCCAACAAGGGCTACAAAAAGCAGCGAAGGCATATTGAGCAAGGAATTCTCAGCCTCACAGGTTTCAGCCAAAGCCTGAAAAGGTGCTGTCAACATGAGGCCATTAGTGATGAGGAGAGCCGCAGCAGGGAACTTGAAATGTAATCTTTCCTGGAACCAGAATAAACTATAATCAGATGTCACAATTTAATGTCACCAATGTGCTTTTCAAGTTTCAACGCTCGGTATACAAATAAGTGAATCTATGCCTCATCTGCGATGGTTTCAATAGATTGTCCACACTTTCTAACCAGGAAGAGGGAGAGAACCATATGGTAAATGTGAGCTGTGGGTGTATATTCGTTCAGACTGGAAATGAAGTAAAACCATAAATTCGAATACCCTCATTCGCAAATTTCACGAGAAAAAGAAAAGCAATCACGGGACTGAAGAGAGAACACAAAATTAACATGTGAAGACTCACCAGCATACCTGATGAGCTGGTAAATGTTGCATGATGGTGGTGTAAAATCGATTTCCTGTTTTGTACTGGATAATGAATCTCAAATGGTTCACAGGAAGCATGCCCGAACTTCTTGAATTTAGCAGGAAGAGATGCTGGTTTCCCTGCTTAAGAGAACTAACTATTATGAGAAACAAACACCATGGTGATCTGTGAACTCTTGGTAAGCAATCTAGGCTGACCAAAAAAAAAAAAGTAGAAACATAGAGTTCTGATGGGTGATACCAAATTCAATGAGCAACTAATGTTTGTGGAATTCACTTTATGAAACCTTCCTATTCACTACGGAAGGTGATGAACATGAGGTTCATCTAGTTCATCTCAATAACACAAGACAATCAAATTTACAATCACTTATTCGGGGACATACTCATGCAAATGTAGTTCCCCACTAGAGCTAACAGTCCTTTTATGCCTAAATAACATCCATCCTCGTGATCTTCGTGGGAATTCACTATTGCTACGAGCATTCAACTGCATAAACTAAGTTCTCAAAGTCATGGGAATTATCACAACTAACCCACCATTGAAACAACTGTTTTCAAATCCAATTAATGCATAGAGTGCCTCCTCGACACTCTTGATTTATACATGCCCCCAGGCTTGTGATTTCGGGAAAGATTGATTTTCCCCTTAAACAACTCCGAATCGCACACAAAACATTTACAACAGGACACAAACTTACTTACGGCTAAAAGCTCAAATCTTTAAGCTGCACCAACTGAATTTCGAGCAAAATGGAACCCAACGCAACACCAAGCGCACTCAATTCCATCACACAGCTCATCACATTAGCACAACCTCATAAATTAAAAAATGCTCCGTAACAGCTCCGAGAATCATAGCTCGAGCCCTAATTTTTCCTCACAGTCCACCGTCACTCGACCGATATTCAAGAGCAGGAGCTACGGATCAGCTCGAGACTCTAATCACATACAGCCGAAAACAAGCGAAGCAAGTACAGCGAGAAGAATTTCCTCCTCCTCCGAGGAGAGAGAAACTGACCGGAGATGCGGTTTCTGACGGAGGACAGATCGGAAAGCGGAGATTGCGGCGAGATTGGCCGAGTGAAGAAGCAAGAGCAGCGGATGACGATCGCCATCTTCTTCTTCTTCTTCGTCGTCTGCTTCAAGAGATAAACCGTTGATGGCTTCAGGGGGCTTTTTGTGTGCGGGGCTATAAAAGTCTGTTCAGTAACATTTTTGTTTCTTTGTTTTTGTTTTTCTGTTCTTTTGTTTTCCGAAATAAAAAAAAAATAGAAATCTATTTAGTAAAAAAAATTTATTTTTTTATTTCTGGAACAAAAAAGTATTCCCGAAATAGATTTAGAACAGAAATAAGAAGCAAAAAAAATCTGCTTCTTGTTTCTGGAACAAGAAAAAAGAAACGATTTTTTTTTTCTGAAATCCTCCAAAAATAAGAAACAATCCATCCATCGGCCGCAACTCGCCTACCGCCGCCTCTTGTCGTCCTTTGCCGCCACCTATCGCCCGCCTTTCGCCATCGCCCGCCGGCCAACGTTCGCCGGTCGCCTCCCGCTCGCTGGCCGCCTCTTGTCGTCGACCACTATCCTCCACCGCTCGACGCTTGTCGCCACCCGCCACCGGCCGCCGTCCTCCACCGCTTGCCGCCATGCTCCATCGCCCGACGTCAGCTGCCACCCAGCGCTGGCCGCCTCCCCCCGCCAACCACCCGATGCCGGCGATCACCCACCACCGGTCGCCGTCCTCCTCCGCCGACCGCCACCCACCACCGGCCGCCATCCTCCGCCGCCGGCCATTGTGCCCACCGCTCGACGCCCGCCACCACCCGACGCCGGTTGCCCTTGGCCGCTGGCCACCTCCCGCCCCTGGCCACCCCACGCCAGCGGTCACCCACCATCGGCTGCCATCCTTCGCCACCGGCCGCCATGCTCCATCGACCGACGATGGCCACCCTCCGCCGCCAGCCACCTCCCGCCGGCGCCCCCCGCTGCCGTCACCGTCGCCCGACACCACCGTGCTCCGCCGCTGACCATCGTGCTCCACTGCCTCCCGTCGCCGACCACTGTCCTCCGCCTCCCACCGCCATCCGCCGTCCTCCGCCGGTAGTCCAGAAGGGAGAAACTCGTCCATGGAATAGAAATGGATCATTTGCGCCGTAAACGCGTTTCTATTCTTTTTCTATTCCAGAAATAAAAATTTTGTGCAGTTAATAAACGCTATTTTTTGCTAAAAAACTGTTCCAAAAAATAGAAATAGAATAAATTATTTCTGATCAGAAATTATTTCTGGAACAGAAACGTTTCTATGCATACCAAAGCTTTTCGGCTCGGTTGTTCACAAAATCACGAGGATGTGCCACTGGATGACGAGGAGTTATCTGATGGATGAGGGCCTACCTCCTCATCCCTGGGCGGTCCAATCAGTGGAGAGGGAAATCGTGAGTCACTCTTTTTCTTCTTCTTTTTTTGGATTAATGATGCGAGTTATTCTTAATTTGGATATTTCACCTGCTCTTCGTCTCCTCCTTATATTCGAATTAATCTAATTCTATGCGTATGTTATCTTACGAAGATTCGCACGCTGCACGAATGCACTCTACTCCTATATTATACTTCATCAATTCTATTAGATCCGAGCAAGTCCTTAACAGGCTTCTTCTCGATCTTCTTCTAGATCTCAGGATCATCGTAATGTAAAATTTTCAGAGAGTATTCCCTCTCTCCAGGGAAAATAAAGATATGAAAGAAATTAGGGGTGTGAGGCGTGCATGCACCGATACGTTAAAATAAGGTACGTAACCGTTAGACCTGTTAAACGAGTGGGTCGGATCGGGTTTGGATCGGATCATAAAAGGTCCAACCCAAATTGACCCATTAACCCGTTTATAACTTATTTATTTGTAATGTAAATATCCGACCCATACTTGACCTGACCGATACTCGACCCGACCCGATCCATATTGCTAAAATACTTCTATATTTAACTAAATATAGGAAAATTTATTTCTTATGACTTTTTTTAAAAATCATACTACTAAAACATTTTCATACAATACAATTTTTAATTATTTTTTATTTTTATTTTATTAATTTTAATATTTTTTATTTTTTTAAATCCAATTTTTAATTATTTTAATTTTTAATTTTTCCTTTTTTTTTGGCCGGTGGCCGGCCATGACGACAGTCGATGTCCTGCTACCGGCCACCGGCGAGGACGAGCTCGCTGATCTAACGAAATCGAGGCCTCGCCGGCCTTAGGCAAGCCTCGAGCTTGCCTGATTCCAGCAAGCCAAGCCTCGCCAGTTGCGGGCGAGCTCGAGTCTTGCCAGATCGGCTAGGCCCCAGTCTCGCCGGAATCGGGCGAGCTCGGCCTCGTCGGCCTGTGGCGAGACTCGAGCTCGCTGGCCTCGAGTGAGCTCGACCTTGCTTGAGGCTGGGGAGGCCTCGGCCTCGCTAGATTGGCGACCTCGAGCTCGCCCAAGGCCGGCGACCTCAAGTCTCGCTAGATTGGCGAGGTCGGAGCCTCGCCACAGGCCGACGAGGCCGAGCTCGCCAGATTCTGGTGAGCCCAACGCCTCGTCGACCTATGGCGAGGTCGTTCCTCCCCTGTGGCCGGTGGCCAGTGGCCGGCCACCGGCCGAAAAGAGAAAGAGAAAAAAAGAAAAGAGAAAGAAAAGAAAAGAAAAAAGAAAAAGAAAAATATTCAATTTTAAAAGATATATTTTTATAAAAAGGGGGTGGGTTGAAAATGGGTTTCACACTCAACCGATTAAAACCCATTTATGATAGACTTAAAACTTTAAGACACATTTAAAATGGGCTTTTCAAAGTTATATTGACCCATTTATTTTTTAAATGGGTCATATATGGGTTTTAAGACCCATTTAATAGGTCTAGTAACTATGAAACCCGCCGTCCTTGCAATGCAAACGGATAGGTCACAAAGGCTCTCGTAGGAGCAAAAGGTCCATTCCTTTGATGAGGCTACACTCTTAACCGAACGTCAATGATCTAAGGAAAGCTCCTGATCTGTATTTGTGGCTCAATTACTCTAATTAAAGAAAAAGGAAATGTCTAGCTCATGACCATTCTTAAGCGAGATTCCGAGGGAGCATTGGGGTGATCTTACTGTGAAGGAGACATTTATTGTTTAAGCGAGATTCCGAGGGAGCAGTCCTCGTTATGGTATCACCTTCTAGGAATGTCTAACTCATGACCATTCCTTTTTTTTTCCTTTAATCAGTCACTTGAAGAAGCTCAGATCTGTTTCTTTATTGGCTTAATTAGATTTTACTAGTTGAGCTCTCAAGGAGAGGGAAAGATGATGGAATACGCCCATGGTCCGATGTTGATCTGTTCATGAAGGTAGATGCTATTATTGTTTTAACTTATTGCAAATGATCGGATTCGTGCATCCGCACACTCATGCACACCTCGTACATGTATGCGCCTTTGGCACTCTATTTCTAAATTCAGGCAATTGATATTGAATCCAGGATAAATCTCATTGCCGAATAATTAATATATGCTCAAGGTTAGTTCTTGAATAGCCATCACGGAGTAATATAAGTTGTCCATTGCATTGCAATGGATACTCTCTCCATGAAGTCAATTGAGTCTTGGAATTACTGATCAATGTGTATTTTGATGGAACAGCTCCGACATATGCAAGGACACCATCCTTGGAGATGAAATGAAACGGGGACTTTCATGGTGGATAAGAAAAAAGCGAGTGACAATAGGATAATCCTGGTTATCACCAACGTTGCCGATAATTTCATTGCCGAGTGTCCGAGCAATGGAAAAGAAATCTTTTAGCAAAACCATTAGCTCTTTCCGTACTACGTGTTATTCAGATGGAACTAATTGCACGACCAAATAAATCAAATAGAGGCACTATTAGGATATATGACTGCAACACAAGTTACCACTCCCATCTTTCGTTTTACTCCTGATGGATCCTTGGCATGTGAAAAGTGCCTATCTTCCATCTTCATCTCTCAATCATTAGTGCTTAGATAAACAGGCCGCGTTCAGATCACAAGTGATCTCTTCTATCGTGCAGGTGAGATGATGGGATCGATGAAAACTCTTCTAATGGATGAGAAATCAACCGTATGGACAGCTTGACACCGTTTCAAATTGCTAGCCGCGTGCAACATATCGCCCCTGTAGTCGATTCTACCAATATTCATGTCCCTCCTCCAAAGAGCCATCCCTAATTATATAGCTATAATCAATGCCACGTCGGATTTTTCATCAATGGAAATCGCCAACCTTATTCAAGTAAACGTTTTCTTTTTAAGGGTTATAGCACTCAAGTAATCCATAGAAATAATATGACACTAACATGAGTGTCATACGAAAATTAAGGTACTGGTGATATCTTTTATTCTAGACATTGTATTGGCATATAATCAACCAAGCTACATTTAGTGATGATAACTAAGACTAGATAATGTTGATTTTTGTCACGGTTGTTGCTTCTATCAGAAATATCAGACAAACGGATGTGTTTGGACTCATTGACAACAAAGTAAGGTAATTTTGATGACTATTTTGCAAAGCGATCAGGACAATGCACTAAAAAAGTTTTTAATGGTTTGTTGGCATTGTGGTAATTCCTTTTAATATATTCAATACCTTTTGTTTGGCTGATATTAAATTCCAAAACATATTTTAACATTCAAAGTATAGTCCGCATCACATTTTATTTTAATATCTCATGCTTATTTTACTTTGATATCAATTTCTTCTCATAAAGATGTCAAAATATGGGGTTTGCAGTATTTCATTATTGTGACATGAATGTCTACATAACACGTTAAAGATCTTAATGTCAATAAAAATATATTAACATAGTATCATGATACAACCATATTAAGATTTATAATGTTTGAAACAATAATTAACTTGAACTATCGATAAATGCAAAATATATAAACAATCAGCTGTTGGCAAAGAAATTTACACAAGAAAAGGAAGGAATATTAAAAATAAATCAAGGGACATCTAGATATGCAATTTGCGGGAAAGAAATATTGTGAATTTCTTTAAAAATATAAAAAAAACTAGTGCATATTTCTACAAGATATCCAACCATTCGTTTTGTCTTATATTATCATTACAACGTCATGGATTATTAGATATTCATCAAAAAGAAGAATTTTCATAAAAAAGAAAGCAGAAATATA